TTATTTTATATTCGTCTTCCTGCAGTGCATGCAGAGCGTACCTAAAAAAAGTATACATGGACAGCTGGAATATGAAAGTAAGATGAAGTATTTGTTTGGTAGCGTTCATATTAAGAGTGATCAAAGGGAAAATCATGGTTGATATATGGAAGAAAGATCTGCAATTTTGAAATAAATGCTGTATGATAATTGACTACCACTGAAAGAACACTCTTCACAAGTATCAATAGCTGAAAGCATCACAACAAAACAATGAAAAAACATCTTCACACCATCCATCAGCGTCCGACTGCCCTCTGGGTTGTCCATTAACATAAATCTGAGCATCTGCCACCGGTTTCCTACCCAGCACAACTCGTCCACGACTACTGAAGCCTTCGATATTAAAGCTCACCTGTAAAGATCATTTCTGATAAAATCTATCAGACAATAAGCGAATGATCCCAATCTAATCCCTTTCAATAAGTTTCAAAACTCCATTTATTAACTGAAATGATCACTTCAGTTTATGTTACAATTGAAACCATCCGTGATACTATTAAAATAATTATTGCGATCGCAACTATCAACATCAATATCAACCAGATGGAATCACCTCAAAGTTTTTAGAGAAGACAAAGAGGAGTTGAATATACCTCAGCCGGCGAAGACCCCATTAAAAAGCTGTGTACTTTGGGCGAGAATGTGAATCGCACTTTATCGGTGGACATCGACGGCACAATTGAATATCTACCAGGTGGCAGACAGGGAAAGCGGGCTGTGCCATCTGAACTGGTCTGCAGCCAACAAACCAATCGCTCGTCCGGTGGCAATACATTCTCGGCTGAATCCTCTGCTTTCGATGGCAATGTCTGAGTGCAGTACGGCAGCTNGACAGTTCTTTGAACAAGACGGCTTTTGCTCATTCAACAGTTATTACTAACGAATTAGGTTGTGCATTATTGTAACGGCTTGTTCCAGTTTATAAGAGATCTTCTTCTGACGAAATAGTAACCAGGAAAACGGTTCATAACTTGAAGAAAACACCATCAAATAACACGAACCTTCACGACATTTTTTGAGTACAACGAAACACGCACTCCAGCCAACTGTTTCGTTTTCGAACGTAAATTAACGGTGAGTAAATGTCCGGATATTTTCAAATCGGGTGACACTTTTATTGGTGAATCAATCACCTCGGCCGGCACCTTACCCCGTTCAATACACTCTGTGCTACCGTCAGCTGTGGATACCTTGAATTTCGTGACTTGATAACTGAACAAACAATCTGACGACCGATTTGCTCTTCATGCAGAATCAGCGAAAGACTTAAAGTTAAACAAAAGGTTCATGATCTCTCGTCACACTCACAACACAATACCAACCAGATATTTGCCCGGAGGTGCACGGAACTGATAGTGTCCGTTACTTGAAGTCTTTGTTGTCTCTATGACCGTACCGTTCTCAGAACTTAAAGTAAGTGCGACATCAGCTGGACCACCCCCATCGCCACTCCTCAGTACACCTTCGACTGCAAACGCTGACAATCTGAAGTTGATATCCTCGCCTCTCGAACACGCATCATTTTCACCGTCAACCTTCAATCCCACTGAATCTGGCTCTGAAACGCACGTGCGATTGTGAAACAACATTCTTGCGGTAACACCTTTTGGTGTATTGTTTTGCAATGACTTTAAAATCTAGTATTTCCATAAAATGTGCAATGAAATTACTGTCAGGGAAAAGTGACACTTAAACAAACACAAATTTCTCTACTGAGAGATCTAAAATTCTTGAACAAAGGTGAAAATGAACAGAAATTACCGAAAAACCATCCTTTTGGTGCAAATACGCGGATCGAGTAAGCAGCTTTATTATAAACCGGAATCATATAATATCCATTTGATGGATTGCATTCGGTTTCGTATTTCAGATTTCCTTCCGCTGTCAAAAGCTTAACCTGAATGAACAAAAGATAATTCCAAGCATCCCGAAATACATCATCACTTTGCATAGGATAAATTCACCTAACCATGAACAACACTTCGTCGAGAACGCCGTAGGAAATTTGAAAATTATTTCAACACTTTAATTGTTTTAGTTAGGATGATTTGAAGGATGCGTTGATCATTAGATATTATTTCAAAATCTAACTGAAAACAAAAGAATAGAGGAAAATAAAGTAGGGGAGCCAACTTGAATTTTGCTATAATCAATTGGAATTGTTGCCGATCTCACAAATCCTCCACAACTGTAAATTTCAGCTGACGCCTCTTGCAAAAGCAATAAGAGCAAGTTGATGATCATTTCGCTGCTTTCACCTCAGCAACACGGCTGCAATATCACAAATGTCAGTGTTCTCGCACAATTCTATGCGACACCACAACTCAGTGCAACTGTTGCACGCGAAACCGATACGAACAATCGATGCCTGCTTTCTGCCTGCCGTGTGCCACATCCAAAACCTGATTTACCTCAGTCAAAAGCACGGAGAAGAGTTTCTTGCCGAACTGTTCGATGAGGCACGCAAAGGATCATGAAAACCATCCGAGGTGGATCAGTAAGAACGCTACGGTTTCACTTCTTCGCTGAATCAATCCATCACCCATCAACTATAGTTCAGAGAGGATGACAGTTCAAAGTAATAATTCAAAACTGCATCAATTCTAAATTCAGCGCATAAAATCAACACGATGCCTTTGCAAAAGTTTGAGCACTATTAAACAAATCGCTCACCCAATCTCCTTGATAAACGTGAAAATCATTGTCATACACAGCAGCGAGAATTGATGCATATATATTTAGAGGCGTTTTGAAACACCAAAACTTTTTAAGATTCACGTANACCATATTAGTCCGTTAGTCAATATACAATAGGAAATAATTGTATTTTGGCTAACTGCTATTCCATTTTAGAAATAGCTGCTATTGACTGTAATATAATAATGAATTTAGTTTACAAAATATCACAGTTGATACCGATTTTGCAAATCTGGAAATCTGCTAACAATCTCAGAAAAGAATATATATATAAGTGAAAATATTTACAGAATATCAGAAACAATATACAAAGAATCGAAATATTGCTTGCATAAGAATACGAGAAACTTTCAAAATATTGTACGTACAAAAATTCGAGAAATGATTACGCAGTCACACGTACACTAAACAAAATCCGAATTAACTAGAACTTCAAGACAAGTCCTAAAAAATACGAAACACTGATCACATCAAGCGAAAATCAAACAGAACATAACAATCTTAATAAGTTAACCAACCCTTCACATCTGAAAACGGCAAACAAATGACATTCAAAACAAAGAAGCACTTGTTAGTTGCAGAATGTCGGTGGCAATCGAACTGATTGCTCAAACAATTTGGTCACAACACTGCTCGCGAATATATAAAAAGGCACTCTTACGACTTCAATACGAATGTTAAATTGGTAGTCACCGTTAATGTCATATCGAGTTAAGGATGTAACATCGAGAAAATTCGAGAGGATAAGATAAATCGGATGAATCAATGTAACAGATAAATTGAATAGTCAGGGGTATCGCTACAAATAATTAACACTAAATCAAAAGAGAACAACCAAAAGAATGGAGAAGTAAATCGAATCCGCTAGTAAAGAGGTCTACAATAGTCGCATGATGCCATAAGGCTTTCGTACGGCTCAACCTGAACAGTTGCTAGATGAATACCATGCTTGAACCGAACCAAGTGATTCGCTTTTTTCATCGTTGCAATCGCTGCACTCTGATCATCTGAAACAACAAGCAATCGATCACTTTAAAAAGAAACTAAACAATACTTTTGAAAATCACTCCATTTTCCAATTTCACTTAAACAACACAGAAGTGAATCAGTACAGTGATAGAGAATCTACAAAAAAGAATTTGCATTAGAAACCGGAACATTCGTACAGTTCAGTGGACGACAGCAGATTATAAATGATTTTTATAAACTAAAGGTGGAGAGAATTATATGTTGTCGACACTGCCTGTTACTGCAGCTATAATTTGCCCAAAAAAAAAAACAACAATAATAATGGTAAACAAAAAGAAATAATAGGTGACCAATGGCAAGATGCACTGCAAGTGCAGTCTTATCCATATTCAGTGACCAAACATTGAGGCTATGTACAGTTCTGACACCATCGATCTTCATCAGATCGCTTTGTAATTCACCATAATCGATATGCGACGGTGTACCTTAAATCAGCAACTGAACACACTAAAAGATGCATCAATCAACTATTCTTCCTCGAGTGAAATTCGAACTCGCAAAAACATAAAAATGCGAACGGCTAAAAAAATTCAAAAAAAAAGATCATAAATAAAATCACCTTCCATAAGAACGAAGAAAATGTCACGGATAACCGTCACACTCGTTATGAGCACAATGATTGAGAAAAGAAATGTGCAAATTGGATCTGCTAATTGCCAACCCGTTATCTGAACATACGAATGGGTATAAGCAACCGGAGAATAATAGAAACCACTACAATACTAGAAACCATATTGAACTGAACATGTTCAAGCAGTGGTAAAGATGACCAGTTGAACTAAAATTGGTAAGATCCAAAAAACAAAAGACCGACAACTTCCGCTGAAGACCGTACTCAGAACAAACGAATTTTTGCACTATTCAATCAAATTTAACTCTTCAAAAAACCAACTTTTATGATGAATGCAGCCACCAAAACGCCAACACTTTGCACTAAATCACCGATCACATGAATGAACGCAGCACGTACATTCACATTCGTTGATCTGTAAAATTGAAATAAATAAAACTGTCATCACTTTACTACTAGTATTATTACCATTACCTCAGATTGAATGTTCCTACTAGATAACTTCGCATTCATTTTCACATTTTAATGCAACACTGTTGAGTATACTTCTTCAATTCGATAAAAATCTGATATTTTATTGANAAATGAAACGAGCTGAAGTTGGCATTAAGTTACGTGACAATATTGGGAAATGAACGAACACTTACGATGAATGCGAATGACCGATTCCATGTGAATGCGAATGTCTGGAGCATTTCAATACCATACCCATAATAACATTGAATAAAACGCCAGCCGACGCCGTAAAAATCATTGTATTTGCATCAACCTCAAACATTCATTTACTTGTTTAATCATCCATTCAGCGTCACGTCTTTCCATCATGCACCCATCAAAATTAAGACTCACATTTAAGTCGTTGTTCACTATCCTTTGAATGGCAAGCATAATGAGTATTGTGGTCAATATCCAGATGATAATTATCGATACCGTTGCCCCAAGTACTTCAGCACGATGAAAGCCGAACGAAAGACGTCGATTGGCTGAAATTTCATAGCTAAACTTTGTTGAATACTGACCAGTTGCAAGATCATGAAATGAACATTTAACACATAAATATGGTTATACAACCAATACGTAGAATTATAAAGAACTCAAGCATCATACAAAACCCAAAATGTATTGTTTATGAACTATCGCAATGAATCGGAACGTTCAGAAATTCAGCAAAACAATAAAATTGATGTCTCAAAAACAGTTAAGCTTGAACGAAGTATCACGCAGATAGTCAGATCAATTAGGGAACAATAATTATTCCATTTCAGTAAACCCTAACCGTTCAATAAATCCAGATCTTCAGAAAAACTAATGAACTCAAAAGTGCCCTCAAAAATGAAGTGTGTGATAATGCATTGATACAATGATAATGGATCGCAAATCTCTCTGTAACGGCTAAATGTCAGAAACGGAATGACCTTTAAAAGAAATGAGCTGAAGTCATTAAAAGATGAACCTGGTGAGCGTGCCACACGGATGGCAAGGATAGATATGATGAATGACAGAAGATCAGATAGCATATGGCCGGCATCAGTCATGATCGCCAACGAATGCGCAATCACTCCACCCGTAAATTCGGCAACTATAAAAACGGCACTCAACACCGATACTGCTATCAGTGTGCGTTCTGCCCGACGGTCCTGGAATTCTCAAATATTTATTTGAGAACCAATTTAAAATTCATAATACATTGCATTAATGCTCCAATCGTGATGCTCTCGAACCTGATTTCATGAGCTGGAACTCGATTTTATGCAATATCCAATTGTATAGCAGCATCGACGAGTTCATAAACACGTTCTCAGCAACGTGTAACATTTCATTTTCGTAGTCAATAAGCAAATCACACAAAAGTTCACCACATTGATGTGGATGGAACACATGAAATCGGAAATGTTCTCAAAACGCACCTTGGTCTGCAGCAGAAGCAACGAATGACAATGATCGGCAATACTGATGTCTTGTATCACTTCAGCGTCTGTTATGTCCGTATCGATCACTCGATCCGTTAAAAAACCAACATTATCAAAGCCATTTACATCGTCGTTATTTGACCCAGGATCCACTGTCATTCTTAACAACACGCAAAATATAATTTTTTACCTGAAAATATAAAAGAAATAACAGATTTTGTAACGATACAATTCCACTGCATAGATATCGTTTGTTACACATACGCTGAATCGCAAGAACGAACACAAAAAGCGTGACATCCTCAAACAAAAAAATCACTGACCTCATACCTCATGAAATCGAAAATGCTAATCATGCAGTTTAGGTTAAGGAGGAAGGGGTGTGGTCTAACCTGTTAGGTATTTATACAATTTGCCATATGAGCAAAGGGAAGGCGGAGTGACGACCGCATCGCGCTGAAGTGAAACGAACAGAGAACATTCATTAGAGAAAATTAGAGCTAATGAAATGTTTGAAAAACAAACTGAGGATCGGTGAAATTCGTTGAGGAAACAGCAAAAAGACGTGCATGTGATCGTCTACTTCTATGCAAACTCACAAATGAGATTCTTTCTCGGGCCGAAGAGCATTTTAGATGCACTTTTGAATGGAGAATGCAAAAATTGCTCGTTGCATGATTTGCAGGTACGGTCGCTTACGACTGATTACGGCATCATCTGTCGTTCTCTCGATAAATGTTTGATGAGAATTCGAACGACTAATCTCATTTCGAACTTTGAAAAATGCCTCAGTTCGAACTGGAAGAAATTCGGAACAATTAGAAACATTTCCAAATGATGTTACACAAGAGTATGTTTTGTTCCAGATTTACTTGTCGACAGACTACGGTTCAATGTTCCTATAAATTTTGTACCAGGCATGACGAAACTGTTTTTCTCATATCAAGCGTATGGGTAGATTCATGCTGTGGGGTACTATGGGCTCAGGCTGAGATGTCATGGAGACTTGAATTAGGCTAATATTGAGCTAAGCCTGGTAATTGCCGAACTTTAGCTCAGGATTATACCGGCTCAGGTCAAGTCGCATTACAACACGACTTGTGCTGACGCTTCCTCCAAGACTTAGGGTGAGATTCAGCATAGAACTCAGGTTGAGTATAAACACTAGAATTCGAACTAATTGTAAGGCCTACTCCAAGAAGAATTTGAATCTTGCGACGAGACTTAGGCTGAAAGTTCTTCGGGGACCTGAAGTGATGCTAATCCTTGGGCTAAATTTCATCCTGTGTTCACGCTGAGACCCACTTCTGGGTGTTCTAAATTCCACTCGAACATGCCCATCCACTCGAATATGAAATCCGAATTTCCAATGAGATTTTGTCGAGTTATCGTTCCAGATTCGAAATTTTGAGCTTTTTGCGAGAATTTCGTTTTGAAATAATTCTTCACTAATTTATAATCATCTAAATTTTTCGATAGTGAAATCCTCAATGCATTTCTTTTCGAATGGATTACGTCAAAGTGCTTGCTTATCTCATTTTATATAATCGCAAATATACATTACCATAGATATCAGTTCTCTTCCGCTTCTAAGCAACCAATAATGCATTAATAGCAACGAATGCAAATTAGAACAGCCGTTCAAGTGGAGCACAAATTGATTTTCGTTGCATTCATCAGTGCTTTCAGATTAGAATTCACTGCGATCGGATGAGCTTCTCACAGATACGTTTCGCTGATTTTATGTCAACTTTCATGTTTCGAAACGTGCACTCACTTTATTGTAACCAAGTACTTATCAATGACTGACTGTCATGGAACACAATCTTATATCCATCGCAGTTTACCTCATTATAAACAATTTTTGACAGTTTTTTTAGATGGTGCTCTTGCATTCTGCAGTTGCTCAGCATATCCAGCAATGTTACAATGAGGAACTTAGTCGCGTATCGCTCATGGTTAAGATTTGTGCGATATTTCAATTCTTATGTAATCTGATTGTTTGCAACACATTCGTCTGAAAAAGACATGAGAAAGAAAGTCTTTGGTTGAGTTGATGGCAAAGGAAACTTTTTGGTTATCATCGAAACAATCAATGATAATTTATGTTTGACATCAAAGTGCTGAGAAAAAACTTATTCGGATAGTTATTTTCTTTAAAATTCCAGAACGGAAGAATTGTTTCATTTGCGAATGCAACTTTTTCAACAACAGGTTATGAATCAAACAATTCATGGAGCTTTATGATCTGAGGCGAGAAATGAGCGACTCAAAATTATTGACTATTTTTATTATTCATTCACTTTAATTTATAGTTTAAAGATTATTTGGATGCATAATTAATGCACAAATATTGCCTAGATGGATCATAAATATGTTACAGTGACTTACATAAGTATTACTGTTCGCAAAATCTCGACTGTTTTTTTATTCCGGGATCGGAATTAAAGCTCTGGATTGTTTTTCAGTTCCGGGATGATCCCGAGATTGGAAAATGATCAGAAACGGAATTGTTTATGATCATTTTCCAGTAATTAATTATGCATTTATTCCCAATTGGGTAGTAAACAACAAATATTAGTGAATATGTGTGAATTGGAAACAACTGATGTGTAGTTTAAGATGATGTCGTCTTTTATCAAATTTCAGGGTTATTCAGAATACAAATCCTGAGATCTTAATCAGGATTCGGATACTGGCATCCTCTGCAAGCGCTGTTAAGAATATTTACTCAGCTATTATTGTACATTTCGTACATAAGCCTCTTCGAGATCATTCCATTTATCACTATTATCACAGTTCACTGCTCTTCTCATCCATGTTTGGCCCGCTATTTTGCAAATATTGTCTCGCCATCTCATTTTCGGTCGACCCCGACTTCTTTTTCCGATTCTAGGTTGCCACTCTGTGCACCTCTTCGCCCAGTTGTTATTGTCCATTGTTGCGATTTTTCTTGCCCACTTGATTTTCCTTTCCCTTGCACATTTTACAAAGTCTTTAACTTTCGTTACCCCTCTCAACCATTCATTCGATTTCCTATCCCGTAATTTAACTCCTACCATCAACCTTTCCATCCTTCTTTGGGCTACTCCCATCATATTTTCCATTCTTTTTGTCACCGTCCATGTTTCTGATCCGTATAACATCGCGGGAAGAACACATTCGTTATACAGACGTCGTTTCAAAACCATTCCGACCCTCTTATCAGTGAAAAATTCTTTATATTTGTAGAACGATTTCCATCCGATTTTTATCCTTCTTCTCAGTTCGGTTTCCCCCTCTCTTTTCATTGATATGAGCTGGCCGAGGTATATGAACTCTCTGACTTCTTCAATGACATTCCCGTCAATAGATAACGGTGATTTTATTATACGGTTTGCCATGATTTTTGTTTTGGTGACATTAATTTTCAGTCCAATTTTGCTGCTTTCCCGAATGAGATCTCTCAACATCGTCCTTATCTGATTGCAATTGTGTGATATTAGGACAATGTCGTCAGCAAATCTGAGATTGTTTAGAATTTTCCCATCTATTTTTACACCTTTATTTTGCCAATTCAATCCTTCAAAAACCGTTTGCAGGCAGGTGTTAAATAATTTTGGAGATATCGTGTCCCCCTGTCGAACCCCTCTGTTCGTATGAAATGGGATTTTGC